GTCTTTTTTTTTTAAACAGATAAAAAATTTGGAGTAAAGGCTAGAATTAATGGGGCTCTGAATATAACCCTGAATTTGGTCAAGCAGAATTTGCAGAATCATCGCTTGGTTCTACCTTGCCTTCAGCTTTTACGAGTATATTCTGCCAACTGTGAGTATTTAAGTGGCTTTTAGTTGACTCAGTGTTGTAAAGTTACACAAAAAGAATTTTAAAGTATTATGATTCTGTAAACCTCTGAAATTTGTGAAAAAGGAAAGAGAAGATTTAATATGGCTCATTTTAACTCTTGACTCCAACCACAACAAAAGTGATGTGGGGTAAGGTTAAGTTGGGCTGTGCATGGTGGCTCATGCCTGTAATCCTAGCACTTTGGGAGGCCAAGGCGGGCGAATCACCTGAGGTTAGGAGTTCAAGACCAGCATGGCGAAACCCTGTCTCTACTAAAATTACAAAAATTAGCCGGGCACGGTGGTGGGCACCTATAATCCTGACTATTCGGGAAGCTGAGGTAGGAGAATCGTTTGAACCTGGGAAGCGGAGGTTACAATGAGTCGAGATTGTGCCATTGTACTCCAGCCTGGGTGACAGAGCAAGATTCCATTTCAACAACAACAACAACAACAACAACAACAACAACAAAAGAAGAAGATTAAGTTGATAAAACCTTGAACATTCTAACTAATTTCCCCAGTTTATAAAGGATAGGAGTGAGGAGGATGGGTAGGCAGCCTGTATGTGGAAGAATATGAGGGTATTGGCCACTGGAAAAGCTCCTGTGCCTCTTTGGACTGTCACAGATGAGAGGAAAGCAGAAAAGGAAGGGATGCAGTAGCATGGCCACCTGGAGCTGATTCTCTTCAGCAATCAACAGGGAAGTAGCAGAACTGAAAATAACTAGTATGGGAACCTCTGAGGAACTAGAGAGAAGAGGGATCACAGAGAGATAGACTCAGATAAAATGTCTTCCAGAACACACACTCTCACTAACACAAGGTTCCACACCATGAGGTGTGGATTTTTTTTCTATTCTCTGATTGCAGAATTGAAGTGGTTAATGAAAGAACGTAAGATTGAATTGCAGAATATATGTTACTGTAGAATATTATTGTAAAATAATGATAGAGTGCTAGATATGTGTGTATATTGCATATATACATATATGTAATATATAAACATATGTAAGCTTACGTATATGTCTCTGTGTGTGTATATCAGTACCTTTAAAATATGGCTAAAGGTGTGCTCTGTGGAAAACAGCTTAGAACACTTAAATAACACTTATGTAATTAAAAAGAACATAAGGAAATAAATGAATTAGATACCTAACCAATGAAGTTAAGAACAGAGAAATAAACACCGGGAAAGTCAAGAAATGAAATAATAAAGGGAAAATGAAAAATATGCATTAGAAAATAGAAAAGCAGTTGATTAAAAAAAAAAACAACTATATTGGATTAAAAATAAAATAGGCTGGTACAGTGGCACATGGCTGTAATCCCAGCACTTTGGAAGCTAGGCAGAAGGACCACTGAAGGCCAGGAGTTTGCAACCAGCCCAGGCAACATAGTGAGGTGCCATTTCTACAAAAAATGGAAAAAATTGGCTGGTTGTGGTGATGTGTGCCTGCAGTCTCCGCTACTCAGGAGGCTAAGGTGGGAGGATTTCTTGAGCCCAGGAGGTTGAGGCTGCAGTGAGCCGAGGCTGCAGTGAGCCATGACTGCACCACTGCACTCCAGCCTCGGCAACACAGCAAGACACTATCTCAAAAAAAAAACAATGCAACAAAAACCCCAAAATGTAAAAAGTAAAACAACTAAACTACCAAATACTCCAGTCAAGGTAAAAGGAATACAGTATAGACATGAAATTAGAAGGGATAATGGAGTAATAAACAGATATGAGAAAATTAAGATCATCCTACGAAATATTAGGAGCTACATTTTTGGTGGCATTTTATTGGATTAACCAGTAGAAGGCTAGCAAACGGCTTATCTATAATTTAAAAATTGTTTATTAAACAATTTTCTTTTAGAGACAGGGTCTTGCTATATATCTCAGACTGGCTTTGAACTCCTGGCCTTAAGCAGTCCTCCTGCTTCAGCCTCCCAAGCAGCTGGGACTACAGGCACATGCCACTGTGCCTGGTTCTACAATATATTTAATAACATTTGTTCAGAATTAAAAATGTTAAGCACAGTTTTCTGATTAGGTAATTATTTGCATATTCCATATTAAACACTGAAATTGTTTCATCTTTTTCCCTGCTACTCTTGCTTTAATTAAAGTCCTCATTACCTGTTACCTAGACCATAGCCTCCTAATGTGTCTTTCAAAACCAGCTTCCCCAGAGTTCTTTGAATTCTGACCTGTTTATTTAAAATGCACATCTGATTTGTTGTTCCTTTTGGGTGATTCCACATAGTCAAAAGAGTTAACAACTTCTAGGGCCTTTCATAATTTGTTTCTCAACT